CCCCCCTCATCCCCCCCCACCCCCGGGCCCCGTGACCCCCATTAGCAGATGAATGATAAGACTCCCCAGAGCTCCGGGCTCGGCCGCGGCCTCTTCTCCCAGATCTGAGTGTGTGTGTGTTCGGGGGGGGGGGGGCACGTTCCCCTTCATTGTGACTAAAACACACTCATTAGTGTTAGCTGGGACGGGTCATGTGACACATGAGGTGGGCTGCCATTGGTCAGTATGGGGGTTCATGTGTTTCTTTGGTTGTGTCAGAGAAGCTCGTCGTCTCTCACTGATAGCGTGTTAGCATGTGTTAAAGGACTAGTTAGCGATCGTGAGGCTTGTTGTGCGGCTCAGCTCTGGTTTAAGGATCTTTCTCTTTGGTTGTTGACTTAGATTTAAGGATTTCAGCACTCGTTACTGTAGCTAGGCTCTGAAACAGCTAGTTCTGTTGTTGTTAGCTTAGATTTAGATCCTTGTTCATTAGCACAGCTTGACTCTATCAGCTGGATTTTTGGACTTTCTTTCTTGGTTCTAGATTGCTAGCTGGCGTTATGGGCCTAGCGTTAGCTCGCTATTGGAACATGAAAGCTAGTTAGCTCATCTACCCTGAAAGTGCAGACACAGAACAATGAGATTCTTTTTTTTTTTTCAGATATTTTTTTCATTTTCCTCAACATTATTTTGTTATTGTTTTATGAATTTGATGAAATCATCTCCATGTTTGTTTTTAATTTATTCTCTTTATCTCCTGCTTCTGTCGAACATGTCACGTACTTACCTGTGTGTACGTGTGTTTACTGAGTGTATATATATGTGTGTGTGTGTGTGTGTGTACTGTTCTCGTGTATGTGTGCTCCTCTGTAGGTATGGAAGGACCAATGTCTCACCGGGCGGCACTAGGACCCCCGTCTGCTGCTCGTTTCCACAGACGGAGAACGTCCGGCACCAGGGACGAACGATACCGTTCAGGTACAGAACCTCAGTCTGGGTCGACCCGTGTGTCCGAGAGTCCACGCTACGTTTGCTGCCGTGGTGCTAATCTTTAGCTGTTGTGGAATAACCTGTGTCCTCGTCTCGTCCTCGTCCTCAGACGTCCACACGGACACGGTCCAGGCCGTGCTGGCCCGTCACGTGGAGAGGAAGGTCGCTGTGCCCATGCCGTCCAAGAGACGCTCTCTGGTGGTTCAGACGTCCATGGATGCATACACACCTCCAGGTGAAGACACACACACACACACACACACACACTCTGTCTGTATATCTGCTGATCCGGGTCGTACTAGTCCTGAAATGTGAGCTTGGAAAACTGGTCCCGGTGCCCAGACTGGATTGTGGTTCCATTTTTGTCTGTTCTGCTCAGACACTCAGGTTCTGACCTGAAACTTAAAACCGTCGCAGAAAAAAAATCTGTTCACTGTCCAAAAACCTAAAAACCTCAGCAGACGTGGTCTTGGTCTCGGAGGTTCTGGAGACGTTAGGAACGCTGTCTCCGTGTCGGACTCCGGATCGTTCCACTGAACATAATCAGAAGTGAAAACATCAATTAAACAGATGGGATTTTAATGAAGCTAATGGAAGAAGTTTACTCCATGCTAATGCTTCATTAAAGAACCTCAGGCCTGAGGGCCAGGCGTGATGTCATCAGAGGAGATTTAAAGGGACAGTTCAGGTCTTCACAGACGGGGGGACAGCGGTTTGGACCTTGGTCCTGGGGGGTTAGAGTTGAACTGGGGCCGGTTCTGGGTCACCTCCCACTTCAATAGAACAGACCTTTTAATGTTGGGGACAAATGTCACTGGGCCGGTCCTCAGACCTGGTGGAGTCTCTGCTCCTCTGTGTCCTCCTGAGTGACTCCCTCCTGCTCCTCCTTCTGCCTGAAGCCATTTTGAAGTGAATTACTTCTGCTGTTAGTTCTGTGTAAACAGACTAATTATTGACATCTGTGCTGTGTGTGCCCCCTGGTGGTCACTGCTGTCAAAGCTGGACGGGCTGCTGAAGTGAGGTCTGAGTCACAGTCTGTGGTTGTTGTTTGTGGAGTAAGAATAAATCAATTCTGTTAGTTCTTGTTGCTGATGGTGAGGCAGGAAACTGACACCTCACATCCAGGTGTGTGGAATTGTTGGTTAGCTTAGCATAGCACTGATATTTGATGAGCTAAAGTACATAGTAAAAATAGTATATTAATAGATCTGTACTGCAGTGTTCTCTAAAACCTTGCACTGTTCCTTTAATGACTCACTGACTCTCACCAGGCCTGTCCCCCCTGTGCTCAGACTCCTCGTCGGGCTCAGAGGAGGAGGCGGGGCCAGGCGACGACATGTCTGGTATGGAGCACTGGATGACCCGCCCCTCTCCGCTCGGCCCCGCCCACCTGGGCTCCACTTCCTCCTCATCCTCATCCACGCAGAGCGGAGGTAGCGGCAACGCGGGCCGCTTGGCCGACTCGCTGGCCCACGCGCACATCTCCCACCTGGGCCACGGCCACATAGCCCACACACACCTGGGCCAGTCCCATCACCAGCAGAGTCACCACGGTGAGAACCTCCTCCTCCTCCTCCTCCTCCTCCTCCTCCTCCTCCTCCTCCTCCTCCTCCTCCTCCTCCTGTGACCGTTTCCCTTCCAGAGTTTCCCTTCCAGAAGCTTCCCTAACCTGGTGGTTGTGTGTGAACCCAGGTATCGGTCACTTGTCCTTGAAGAGGAAAGGAGCTCTGAGCGTAGCAGAAAACGGAGGCTCTCTGAGACGATCCTGTGAGTTTGGCTCCGACATGCTGTGGCCGCCACCTCTGGAGTCTGACGGTGCGTTCACGGTCGCGGGGAATCTGGGGTTTTTTCAGTCACTTGTTGTAGTAAAAGTTCAAACGCATTGAAGTGAAAAAAACAATTATTAAAAGTTGAAAGGTTATTTCAAGTCAAATGTTTCCGTGTCATAAACAATGATCTGATAAACAGAAGAATTGCTAAAAGTTGTCTCTTCTTTGCTAAATTGCTAGATGTTAGCAACAAGTGAAAAGGTCAACTACGCTAGGCTAACAGAGAGAGCTGATGTACTGAAGGTAGCCAATAAACAGACAGAGAAAAGGTCAAAGGTCAGATTCATATGTCAGTCTTAATGACCTTTTAATGACCTTAATGATTTTCCTAAAAGATCAGAGGCAGCACACACACACACACACACCACCTGTGTGATCGTCAGCAGGGGGCGATGCAGCCTCCAGTCTGTGGTGATAAATCTGGACCGTGAGTCAGCGCTGCTGCTGCCTCTTCGTGACTTTTTGTTCCACCTCCCCGCAGAGAACCACTCGGCCCCCCCTGATGTGACAGGCTACTCCTCAGACTCTCCCCACTCCCACACGGAGCGCCACCACATGGCCAACATGGGCACCATCGCCAGGAACACGCAGAAGTACGGCAACGCCGAGCGCATGGAGACGGGCGACGGTGAGGGTTAAAAATAGAAGGACTTTAATCCAGAGGTGAGCTCTGATTGGTGGGTGGTCCCCCGGAGAGCTGACCAATAATCTGTGACTCCAGGTCCATGTCACTGCATCAGAGCATCAACTTTATTTTATCATCTGGGTTTCTGAGCGCTGGTTTAAGGACCAGTTCCACTTGTTCCTGCAGGAGTTCCAGTCAGCAGTCGGGTGTCAGCAAAGATCCAGCAGCTGGTGAACACGCTGAAGCAGCCGCGCCGACCGCCGCTACGAGAGTTCTTTGTCGACGACTTTGACGAGCTCCTGGAGGGTGAGAAACCGTGTGTCCGTCAGACGTCAGCCTCAAAAAGATGACGTTCAAGTAACGACAACGATAAGGGTTAGCCCAGAGGTCAGAGGTCAGATACGGTTGGTCAGAAACCTGGCCTGAAGGTTGATCAGATATATTTGAAATATTATCTGCTCCTTAAAGTTGAAGTTACTGACTTTGGGGCAGCTCTGTGCTCTCTCACTCCCCCTGCAGGGGTCAGGATGAAGTTTCCTGAATTTTAATCTGGATGTGAATCAAATCCTGTCACTTAAATATTTCACAGGGGTGACTTACACCTAGCCTTAGCTTCAGCCTCAGCGTTAGCATTAGCGTTAGCGTCCCGCTGCCGTCTTGTTTTAGAGCAGTGTTAGCTTGTGTTAGTAAGGTGAACATCTGCCCTCTAGTCCAGCAGCCTGACCCCAATCAGCCTCGACCAGAGGGGGCGGAGATGATGCCCGTGCGGGGCGAGGCTCTGGGTGTGGTCACCAACTGGCCTCCCTCCCTGGAGGCGGCGCTGCAGCGCTGGGGCACCATCTCTCCAAAGGCCCCCTGTCTCACCAGCCTGGACACAGCAGGAAAGCCCCTCTACGTCCTCACCTACGGTAGGACTCTGGGTTTATATACAAAAACATCCACTCAAAACGTCAAAGACTCACTGTCTGTGCTCTGCCCCCTACAGGGAAGTTGTGGTCTCGCAGCATCAAGCTGGCCTACAACATCCTGCACAAACTGGGCAGCAAACAGGAGCCCATGGTGCGACCTGGAGACCGGGTGAGTCTCCGTCCTTCAGTCAGGACTGGACTTGAACCTCGTGTCCTAAAACACTTACCTTCTGCCACTCTCTGATCTCCAGGTGGCGCTGGTGTTCCCTAACAACGACCCTGTCGCTTTCATGGTGGCCTTCTACGGGTGCCTGCTGGCCGAGGTGGTTCCTGTCCCGATAGAGGTTCCTCTGAGCCGGAAGGTAAAGGACACTGACTGGTACTGGTAAAGGACACTGACTGGTACTGGTGTATGAGTGAACTGGTACTGGTCTCTGACCGTTGTCTTCCTGTGGTCAGGATGCGGGCAGTCAGCAGATCGGCTTCCTGTTGGGCAGCTGTGGCGTGACGGTGGCTCTGACCAGCGACGCCTGTCACAAAGGTCTGCCCAAGAGCGCCACGGGGGAGATCCCACAGTTCAAAGGTCAGCAGGGGGTCCAGCAAGGTCAGAACAGAGATGAACAAAGGGGGGGGGGCAGAGTGAGAGCAGATCACAGCAGCGGGGGGGGGAGTCTGTTGTCAT